AAGTTGGTTTTTTTTTTATTTTTACAACTAGCACAGATCATGCCAGAATAAGTATACCCAACAGTATACTTAATAAAGACAAAAATCTCTTTTTCTAAGTAAGACTCTCTGTGTGGTATACTGAGTTTACAAGTTAACGCTCACATCCAACATTTTAATGAACCACAAAATAGAGTGAAATCGCCTTTATACATTTAAGCTCAAGCATTTAATTTGATTAATTACCAGCTTCTATGTGTCTACAGTGCCAAGCTTTGGAAGAAAAATGAGAATCTTTTACTGAAAAAATGATGCTTATTTTGAACGGCAAGGAAGGATAATAAAGGAATAGTTTATCAGACAATATTTTTTCATAAAACAGCATTAAGGTTACCCTGGCAATTAGATTGAACTTCACTTAGACTGTATAAAACCAAAGCAATAGCTTTTTCTGCTTAAGTAACCATGGCATCTCGTTTAATTATTGACACCCACTCTTAATTATATTAACTGTGACGCCATCATTCCTCTCATCGATAATTCGTCAAACTTTTGTGATACCATTCAGCCGGAACCAGGCAAGAATAGTTTGTTCAGGATTATTTTTACAAATTCTCACTTAGTATATAATCTATTGTGGCGCATATTGTTCGTGGACAAGGCAGGTAGGACGCATGCTAAAGGATGTTCACCCTAAATGACTCATTAGAACGTACAATCGAGCTTTTTTAGCTAAAGAAGAAATATCTCTGCACAGATACTAATCAATTATACCTTGGATTGGTTCAAGAGGCAGAATCTTTTGCCAAAAACTGAGTAAAAGAGTTACATATACGGTAAATAAACGAATTTTGTGCCCATATTTCCTTCCGTCATTAAGGATAGCCTGTCTGCCTTTATCTTATTAATAAAAAATAATTATCAATTTACATGTAACGTTGGTCAAAGCCATGTGGCACAGAGTGAGATAACAATTGCCATTAGAGTCGGAGAGCATAGGACAAAAGTAGGAAAAAGTGGGAAAAATGGAGTGACCGAAAGGGCTAAAACGAGAGATCGCTTCAAGTGTCTAGCCATCGGCTACAAGCAGACAATGTTTTAAGATTACTGGTAAACCGTGACGCACCTCTCTCTCACTCCTCTACTAGAGGCTACAATGTAGACACCAAAAGGCGTATAATGAAATTGCTATCCTCATTCATCAAAGCTAATTTAATTGTTGATTAAAGAATTTGACGTTACATAACGCAAGAATGCTTGTCGTTTATTATGTTCCATTTAAATAAGCTCCGTAATGAATTTCTACATTTAATTATTTTATTCCGAAATATTGACTTTGATGATGGCAATCGTTTAGCGTTAAAGGAAGGAGTATCACATAATTAAATAGAGTTAAACTACAATCTAAAGGGCTGTACGGCAACTTACATCGTATTGCCAAAGATGTATCGAAATCGACTTAAGATGTAATTTGTTGACAACTAATGTGACATAAACTACATCATTTATGAGCTCCTCCATTTTCCCAGCAAAATATGCCAATTTATGAATGCTTAAATTACGGCTGTATATCCATCTATCTAAAACTACTAAAGAGTGAAAACATCAGCCAAAATTAAATGAAGTACAGAACAGCTCTACGCATTTATAAGCTGTGTTTAACTCAGTTTTGTAGATGAAACATTAAAATTACCTCTTCTCCTTCTCCAGTTAAAGTTCATTTAAAATGAACTATCTATCTAGCGACAAATAAGTGTGAACTTATTCCAAAAATGCTATTTATAATGTATCTTCAGTTATTTCTGATGAGTTTAACTTCGCTTTTTAACAAAATTTAGAAAACTAAATTAAGTGATTTAATTTTCTTAAATAGGTTAAGCAAAAAATAAAATACACTAAATGATAGAAGTTGGTGCTAAAGTTACTAAGGAAGTAGTTATGTAGTAATTATGTTGATCTGTGAAGCACTTTCTTGATCCATTGTTACCCATCATGTAAATAAAATTGACTCTTGCTTCTTGGTAAGCCTAGAAAGCTATTTATTAGGAATGATTTTGCTGCAACTGACTTATATAGACTAGCAAAAAATGCAGAAACTTTCGGGTATTAGCGAATGAAGTTTGGTTAAAAATCTTTATTGAATGGGACAATATCGAACTAAAGCGCTTGACTCCAACAATGTGGTTCCATAAATCGCATCTTCCTTTCTTATCCTATGTCCCGGTATGAAAGCTAATTCCGGCCCTCCTTGTCTAGAATAGTGTCCACTTAGTCAGATTATTAATTCCAGGTCCTTTTTATTTATTCATTTTTTCACCTAAAAGTGAGAATATATGGGGCTTTTTCTCTTTTAGAGAAGCACGTTAACTCAAATAATGACACTTATTCTTTATCACTATACATTTTTTAGCATCATTACCAGGCCGCCTTGCTTGTCTGCTGATGATTTTGCGGTTTTATTCGAATAAATTAATTCTATTACCTCTTTGCAGCGATATTGAAATTATAACATTGGATATTAGCTTAGAATAAGTTGTCCATTTTTACAACAAAAAAACCTCTGCTTTATTCTCTCAAGAATTAACAAGTCTCTGCTCTAATTTCGGTCTCCAAGTCGAGTGACCAACTTGCAAGCAGCTGGCTTCCAGATGGATGCCGATTGATATACCTTATTTACACTGTCGGCTATATTTGGTTATCTTATAGAGTTAAATAGTTAATTTATCGTTCGGTGTGCAATACGGATTTTTTCTCACCATTTTACTGTAATATAAGCTTTGAATATTGGCGAATAGAATGCCATAATATGGACTGGCAGTATCTACAGGATTTAACAAAGAGGGTTTTCGTGCATTTTAAGGTCCTTTGAAGAAGAGCTTCATTTGATGATACTACAAAGACTTAGGCACTTTTAATGATCGAGAGGAGCTCGAGCTGAAATAGAAGGACTCATTGTGCCAGTTATGATTGCCAATTATGCAGCTTCATTCTATTCTTTGCATATTGCATCAATATGGGCGTTCGAGGCGAAATGAGAACCAGGGATTCTTATCAAAAAGTTTAATCTTTTTCCTCGGTGTACAGAAACTCTTATATGACTTATCATTTCATTTTGAAGGAAAATATTTTTGTGAAGAATTCGTAAACTATCCTTGCGGGAACTCGAAGGAGGATTGTCTTGCAATTGTAACAGTTTAATTGTACAAAAAGTCCCCTAATTCGCCATCATACGACCTTGAAATGTCATTGCTGAGCTTTGGTTTTTCATCTGACGGACATCGTTGGAGCAAGAAACCGTCATTTGCTGAAAGGAAACTCTTCAAAACCAAGTTTTCTTTCATATCAAAATTCAAATATTTGACCAACTGGTCTATAGCATGTTCAATGACTGATTACATAAAATACTTTACTTAATGACCTATAAACTAATTTAATTCACGCCACAAAATGGCTATAAGTATTGTTAAAGCAATCTTATTTTATAAAAAAGACAAAAGTTGCAGGATTGTAGGAAATGGCAGATTTACTATAAAAGATCTTATATTAACTTACTTGTGGCTCAAGCTTAATTAGGCTAGAGGTTTGTGTGCACAAAGCTTTCAGGAAAAGTTTAATTGTTATGGGGTTAAGTTTGTCTAATAGCCAGCCTCAGGGCATTTGTGTGTTTCGAGAACACAGGTTTTGTATTTGGCTTCAGCAGACGAATCGAATCTCGCAAATACTCCTCCGCGCTTGCTCTATTAGGATTATCTGACCCGTCTAAATTAGCAAATAATTACTACAATCAAACGTTATTCATCTTTATCAGCTATTTTTTCCGGCTAAGGATACATTTTGTCCTACAATTCTCTTTAAAGCTAATCAATTGCCCTCATACACGATGAAGAATACTCCATTAACTTCTGGGAACTGCAAATGTGAATTAAATTTAAAGACAAATCGCTTTTGAGATTTAATCTACAGAAGGGATTTTGCTCAATTCTTTTGGTGATTTTGTCACATTAACTACTCTGGACTGTTTTTTTTAAATAAATTGTGCAGAAAATACATTGTTCATCCAAGTACAGTTGAAACAAGTCTTATTCGGGTAGCAGCTTTTGCCTCTCTTTTTCCCTTATATTCATGAGCCGGAATGTTTTTCTCAACATCACATACTCGACTATGCAATAGTAAGACGACAAGCGCTATCGCTTCATAATTGTTTTATGAGTTTGAATCCGCATGTTCATTCTAATTAAGTAGGCCGTAACATTGTTTAACCATCCTTACTGAGTAGAAACTATTTTTTTTTGCATAGCGACCACAAAAATGTATTCTATCCTCTTTAAAATATGCAACTATTTGCTGACAAATAGCTTAAAGAACCTCCACGACAAGTCGTCTTAAGCTGCCTCTAAATGGTCATACTTGACAAGATATTTAGCACTAAGATTTTTATTTCTTTATGCCCCCAAATAGGCAAATTTACGATTTCATACATCTCTTCCAATATGGAATATATGCTTAAATTGCATTTTATTGTATTGAATTCTTTAATTGTTCACTGCGGTTCTCATTGCTTCAAGCTGCTTATGGCAATAAATTAATTCGTAATTACAGCATATTATTTCATAAAAAAATATTTCTAATATAAAATCTCTTTTCGAGATAATTCAAATCCATATGCTAAGATCTAGGTTTTATTAGAATTTATTGGCAATAAATGAAACTATCTTTAAAAGACTGTTTACATTATCTCTATGCGTTTAGATGTCAAAGTCCATTTTATGAAGTAGCATTAAATATTTGTTAAATTCCTTCAGCTCTCTTTTTTTGGGTTGAGGCTGGAGGCTTGCAGAAAATGAGACAATAGTTGGCTCCACCTGGTAGGGTTGTCTGGTATCTTCACGGCTCATGGTCAAAAGATGCTTATACCGATTTCGCGTCACCTCTATTCATTTCCTTTCTTTTGTAGAGCAGTGTTGTTTTATTAATTTTATTATTTTTTTCGCATTTTCCAAGGCCTGCCTACACGCATTGTCATGCAGCCGTTAAGCAACGCGGTCCCCTTGCTTGCCTCCAGATCACTCTCGTACCATTCCTCCTCGGTCCACCTCTCCACCTGCTACAAGGCCTCATTTCTTCCTGCTAAGGTTCTCTCCGCTGTCAAGATGCCGCCCATGTCGTCTGCCAAGAGCGTTGTCTCTGGCACTTCTGCGGAAGCTCCATCAGGCGTGGAAAACGTTGAGGAGGCCGTCTGTGGGTCGACTTCGGTGCTTTCTTCAAGCCTAACCGTTCGTCTGGAGGAGAAGACGTTGGACGCCGCCTGGCATGACTGGCGGACAAATGAAAGCCTCTCGGATTCGTTCAGCGCGAATGTGCCGCGGAAAGCCTGTCCTTTGGACATTTGGTCGCTACGTGCGCGCCGTATCATTTGTGGTAAGCAGGACTGAGTAGTTTGCAGAAATGTAACCACATAATTTATGTGATCCACGTCAAAGAGCGAAAAACAAATTCCAGATACAAAATAGTCTATTTTCAGAGGAGAACATTGTCATTATTTTTCTAATTAAGTTTCGTTTTCGTGACTACCGGTAAATCAGCAATATGAGATGTATTCACCTAATTTTGTTTAAGGTAATGAAGTAGAATTTTCCCACAACGATATGAGTAGAGCTGGTTTTTCCATTAAATTTCACATAGCCTTGCTCTCCAAAAAGTTTTTCTCATTCAGTGCTTCATCAT